CGTTCAAGTAAATGGCAAAGGCATTGCGGTTGATTTTCCTCCTTGCATCACATCTCTTGGTCTCTGGTACGTTTACATTCCAAAAAACTCGTGGAGTCTTGATTTACTCAAAATTTTGTTTAATCGTTTTGTGTACTTGCAGTGATGTCGAGGACCTTTACCATAGAGAACAAATGTGAATACACTATATGGCCTGCAAGCTACGACTACTCGGGATCGCTTGACACAACCGGTATCGTTCTTGAGATGGGAGAGACACGTACCATAAATGCATCGTCTTCATGGATAGGTCGTGTCTGGGGTAGGTCGCTCTGTTCCACCAACTTAACAGGAGCTTTCTTATGCGCCACAGGAGACTGCAGCTCCGGCGATATTGAATGCCTCGGTAACGCCACACAACCGACTACTGTGGCCGAGTTTAACCTCGACTCTGACGGTGGTTTAGACTATTATGACGTCAGCGTTATCGATGGTTACAACCTTCCTTTGCTTGTGACCCCGGAGAACGAAAAGTGTAGAAGTATCGGGTGCGATGTTGATATGAACAAGACGTGTCCATCGGAGCTGATGATGAACATTAGCAGCAGCCCCGGATCGAACCATCCAATCGCTTGCAGGACCACATGCCAGAAAGACCAGTTGCCGGATCAATGTTGTGTCGGACTCTACGTTGAAAATGCCGTACCACCGGAAAAATGCAAACGGACAATCTACTCAAAGTCTTTCAACGAAGCGTGTCCAGGGGCTTATAGCTACGCTTACGACACTAATATTAGCACCTTCACATGTTCTTACTCCTCTAACTTTGCCATCACGTTTTGCCCGTCTAATCGCGATAAAACCAGGTAAATTTTGATTTACAAAGAAATTGAATTCATCTCTCATAATTTTCAGAGAATTTGTAAACATTAAAACGCTAGAAAACCTGACCAGACATTCTAATGATACTTTTAGGACTTAAATGCACACTATACATGTGTACCAGACATGTAGACATGTAGCTTAGTGGTGGTTTTTACTAATATTGTTTTTGTGACATTATATATATATATTTTTAATGAATGTAAAATTATTATTAAGCAAAAAAAACGTTTTTACTTTTAATGTGTCCTTTGATTTGAACTCTAAACTGAAAAGAAGAGAAAAAAAATCAGAAAAAGGTTGAGACTCAAGTCCTGTGTACTTCCTTACGGTTGAGTTGCAAACCACAAGATCATAGCATCATTATATACTAAATCTACATTTAAATCCGGGAGAATGCATGATGATGTTGAGAAAAAAGAGCAAAATGCATGTTTATATATAGTTACTAATCACTATGTGGATTCTATAGTGGGTTATATGTATATTGATGATATGTAATTTAAGTTACTTACTGGAAAATCAACAGCAGGAGCCCAACGGCTGAGCCTCCATTAGGACCTCATACAAACAATGGAGCTGTTGTAGCTCCCTCGGTGTCTCCACCCTCTAAGGAAACTGGAGCAGGAGCTGAACGTCAGTTTTCTTTTTCTTCTAACCTACAAAAATTTATATAATTGTTATTGTTAATCCAAATCTTAGTTTGATACATTGCAGGAAAATCTATGCCCAAGTTGAAAATCATACTCGGTACATTTTAGCTTCAACTTTCTGACATTACATTACTTATCTTGTTCATTAATTTATGATGTATATAAGTTTATAACAACTAACTTTCGAGGCTTATTCTCTTGTAGGAGTTTTATCAGCTTTAGCTATGATTATCATTATTGCGATTGTGGTAAAGGTGAGAGCAAATAATATGAGAAAGAGTGATCGGAATGAGAAGAACATCGAAGCAGTTGTAATGTTAAAACGATTTAGTTATGTACAAGTCAAGAAGATGACAAAATCATTCGCGGATGTTCTTGGGAAAGGAGGATTTGGAATTGTCTATAAAGGGAAGTTACCTGATGGCACCCGAGATGTTGCGGTGAAGATCTTGAAGGACTCAAACGAGAATGGGGAAGAGTTCATCAATGAAGTAGCTAGCATGAGTAGAACATCTCATGTTAACATTGTTCCTCTTCTTGGATTTTGCTATGAAGGAAACAAGAAAGCTATAATATATGAGTTCATGCCAAATGGATCCCTCGACAAATTCATCTCTGCGAAGATGTCAACGAAGATGGAATGGAAAACGTTGTACAACATTGCGGTAGGTGTTTCTCGTGGACTAGAATACTTGCACAACCGTTGTGTATCGAGGATTGTACATTTCGATATAAAGCCGCAGAACATACTCATTGATGGAGAGTTTTCCCCCAAGATTTCAGATTTTGGCCTTGCTAAGCTATGCAAAAATAATGAAAGCATTATGTCAATGCTAGATGCGAGAGGCACGGCAGGGTACATTGCCCCAGAAGTGTTTTCCAAGAATTATGGTGGAGTTTCTCATAAGTCAGATGTGTATAGTTATGGAATGGTGGTTCTTGAGATGATTGGAGCAAAGAAGATAGAAAGAGCTCAAAATGGTGGATCCAACAAAAATTCAATGTATTTTCCGGATTGGATTTATAAAGATCTCGAGAAGGGAGAAATCATGAGTTTTTTCGCAGATAAAATAACTGAAGAAGAAGATGAGAAGATAGTAAAGAAAATGGTATTGGTGGGTTTGTGGTGTATTCAAACCAATCCATTTGATCGTCCACCAATGATCAAAGTCGTTGAAATGTTAGAAGGAAGTCTAGAGGCTCTGGAGATTCCACCTAAGCCTATATTATGTTTACCTGCAATAAAAATTCAAAGTGATGGTGAGATTCAAGAGACTTCAAGCTTCTCGAAACGAGGTGAAGATACTTCACATTATTCCGAAGAAGTTCAAGATATTGCAGAAGAGAATCAAGATAGCTCAAGATCTTACTACACCAAAGCCGGCAAGTAAGATCTTGCGATCTTCTTACCGGTTTGTTGATGAAATCCAAATTACTTTTGCTAATATTCACTATTGATCATTCATGTGGAAATGAAAACCCAAAATATCCTATGCTTATAATAGATTATTTTTCAGATGCAGACATGAGACATCCGACAAGATTGTACAAAAGATTTTGAAACAGAGTCATGTGACTTTAAACTCCTCGTAACTATGCCAAAATGCGATATAGTAATATATATATAAATTTAAATTGCATAAACTTTACAATTGAGGCCTTCATGGGCAAAATTACGTACATTGAATGCTAGCTCAACTAATCATAAGAGATTTACAAATGAGGCATTCCATGTTCCCTCTTTCAACAGAAAATGTAAATGCACCCATACACGCTTTTGACGAGGCCATGGGCTTGGAACACTCTTCACTTTGGTTTTTTTCTGAATTTCATGTCATAATAGTATAGATTTTGCTTCTTCATAATCTCAAAAACAAGATGGATTCATTGTAAAAAAATTTTGATTTGAATAAAATTTTACATTCAATTAAAGAAAGAATAATGTAAATGCACCAAAAAGATTAATTTACTATACCCTTCTCATTTTACCGTTAAATGCCACATCACATGCTATGTTACTTGTGCATTGAAAGAGCATTTTAGCAAGTGATGTTGACACCAGGGTCTACACCAAATTGTCCACAATAGTCTCTATAGTACTTTATCCTTGCATTGACCGCACCCGGATTCCCACCATTACACTCCATACCATTGATGGCTTTAATGGTGGCTCCAAATCCTTCATTCAGTACCGGCCTTACGCTATTCATCCAAAACCACACACCCGTCCTGAAAGCCACAGTTGCGTTGCTACCCACTAGTTCAGGCATACGTAGCAGGTCAAGGCCAAGACTTTGGCCACATGCTCCATAGTTGTAGTTCCATGATAATTGGAACGGACCACGACCGAAGTAGCCTTTACCCGGTGCACATGGGTATCGCCTGTTGTTTTCGTCGCAGTAGTCAAGTGAACTCCCATTTACCTCCTCTATGTAGCAGAAATCTAAACGTGGAGATTCATATGAGATCGATAGTTGATTTTTTAATTAAAAAAATCAGAAATATAGAAATAATATTTTTAATACCTAGAGTACTATATGGTAGAATCGTAACCATAATAAAAAGGTTTGTGTGAAATAATCGGAGACTAAATTCATTAGATTATTCAGTCATTAACTATTTCATAATTTACTTATACCGATTGCAGACTGGAGTAAAGTATAGAATTCTCTTAGTATATAGAGGAAAAAATTTAAGAAAGAGAAAGTGAACATATGGAAAGTTCTACATATAGTTCTTACGTACGTTCGGTCTCGCGGGTGAAATGAGCAAACATGGTAGCAATTTCACGCCTTGTAACAGAATTAGCAAAGTCGGGGAAAGTATTAGCTGCGTTAATGAAAGTATCACGAGTGTAGAATTTTTTTCCAGCGCAGCCATTATCGGTTTGGTTGATAATGCGATCAAAGAAACCTTGTGTCACAATCCTGTCAACCACCGCAGGCTCTTTAAATCTTCCGCAAGGACCTGATTGGCAACCGGAACCACAATAAACGTCGGAGGTACCACAATAACCGTATTGACTGCAGCATAGGATCGGAGAGCAGCCGCAGAACTGGGACTTGGCAGTTTTAGAGTAGAGACCCAAGAGACAGATAAGAAAAACGGAGGAGATTTTTGTGAGAATCATGTCTTAGTTTGTATAGTTTGTGGATGAAGATTAATGTTGTGATTGATTATAGTGGGGAGATGTTTGGTAGTCATTTCATTGGACAAGTCAATCGGAATAAAATGTTTTTTTTTAATATAAAGATTTTGATTATTAAACACACGGCTTTGACTCTTCAAATTTCCTCCAAGAATATTACTATGGACTAGTCGGTTGGTTTTTTTGTTTAGCAATTTTTTAGAAATTTTTGTTTTAACATTGATGGTGCCTAATCTTTCAGTTTTATTTAAGCCAAGAAAAATTTATATCAAAACAACTTCGTTTTGGTATTTGACCAAAAAAAAAACATGGGAAATTAGGTAGTATATTAGTCTTTCCATCTATAATTTATTATCTAACATTATATAAATCAAAATTTAGTGACTAACATTTAATCCATCTAAAATTTCAATTTTACCCTTATATAATTATATAGCTTTTGACATTAAAACAAAAAAATCAAACCCTAATCTCCCATCTAATTCACGCCTAAAGCTAATTCACGCCACCTTAATCTCTTTTTCCTCCCTAATCTCATT